GGCCCCGGGGGCTGGCGCCGGCGGCCAGTGGCTGGGGTCGGGGGTCCTCCGCACCCTGGGGGCCGAGGGACGGTGTGGGGTCGCCTGGTGGCCGACGGACAGCCCTAGTGAGTGGATGAGGGGGCCCAGTGACCTCCGAGGCCTGGTATCCGGGTGGGGGGCCCAGTGGCCTCGACGGTTGGTGACCCGGGTGTGGGTCCCAGGAGCCTGGGGTCCTGGTGAGAGGGTGGGGGGACCCGGTGACCTTAAGGGTCTAATGACCTGGGTCGGGGGTCCCAGAGACCTCAGGGGCCTATGGAAGGAGCCTAGTGACTCCGGTAGGGGGGGTTCTGCCAAGTCTGGGATCCTGGAGACAGGTTTCGGGGTCCCAGTGGCCCCAGGGACCTAGTGACCCAGTGGGAGGGTCCCAGAGACCACAGGGTCCTAATAGAAGGGCCTGGTGACACTGGGAGGGGGTCCCAGAGAACTTGGGGTCCTAGTGACAGGACGGGGTCCCGGTGACCCCAGGGGCCTAGTGAAGGGGTGGAGTGACCCAGGTCGGGGGGCCCAGTGACCTCAGGGACTTGGTGCAGTGACCTGGTGACCCTGGTACAGGGGTGCTGGTGAACGTGGGATCTTAGGGACAGGGTGGGGGCTGTGGTGGCCCTAGCGGCCTAGTGCCAGGGTGGGGGTCCCAGACCAAGGGCTTTAGTGACTGCAGTGGGGCTCCTAGTGATTGATGGTCCACCTCAGTGACTGGGCAGAGGGTCCCAGGGACCCTGAGGTCCTACAGACGGGGGTCAGGGGACTCCTAGTGTTGATTACGGGTGTCCAGTAACAGCACCCCATCATGGTGGGTGGGGGGGTCCTCATGACCCCAGAGTCCTAATGACAGGGACAGGGATGCCTAGTGCCCCTGGTGCCCCTGGTGACCTGGTGACAGAGCTGGAATGGCCAGACACCCTAGTGGCCAGGCTGGGAGTCCTCGTGAGCTCCGGGACCTGGTGGCAGGTGTGGGGTCCTCGCGAGCAGCTGTCCTGACGGGGTGGGCAGTCCTAGTGACCCCGGGGGTCTGCTGACCTGGGGGTGTCCTGGTGACCCAGGAGGCTTTAATGACGGGTCCCCTTGGTAGGGGCTGAGGAAGAGGGATCCATAGAGAGGGGAAGGGGCCCAGGCCGAGGAGGTGGGACCAGGGGATCTAGTGACCAGGTGGGCGGTGGTCTCCAGGGTGTGGCCAGGGCCTGCTGACCGCACGGCCCAGATGGTGGGTAGTTCTGCAGGGGTGACACCAGGGGACATTGCAGAGGAGGCTGTGGACACACAGGAAGAGAGAGGGCATTGCAGGGACCCTGGGCACTGCGGGTGGGCAGGGAGAGGGGTGAGGTGGGGAGGCTGTGAGGATCTCCACAGGGAGCCCTGGGATTCAGAGCAGAGGGAACCCTTCTGGTCTGCTGTCACAGGGGGCAGAGGGGATATGGTTGGGGACATCGTGGGGAGGGTGCAGAGGGGAGGGTGGGGACAGGGGAGCAGGGTCAGTCCCTGGTGGACGTCGTGGGGAGGGTGCACGGGCCCTAGGGGTGCCTCCCATATGCCCAGGCATGCAGGGGCTGGGGTCCCGAGCCAAGGGAGGCTTGCTGGAGCAGGAAGAGCTGGGTGGCTTCGGTTCAAGGGCAGAGCCCCGGGGAGGGGTGGACGCCCGGGCCCAGAGGACGTCCACTTGTACACACCCTGCTCTGCAGGTCCCGTGGACACCCTGCCCAGCATGCCCAGATGGCACCCTGTGTAGCTGCCCCACCCCCACCCCCGGCAGTGCCGCCTGGCCGCCCGAGCCAGAAACAGCCTTGGAGCCCCGTACCGCATCTGCAGCCCTGCTCGTGTGTGCTGCTGTGCACTGTGGCTGTTCTGAAGGTGCCTGTCACTTGGGAGGCTCTTTCCGGCTGGCTCTCCACAGTGGGCCGAAGCGCTGACCTCCCGGGCCCTCCGATCCACCCTGACCTGTGGCCTATCCCCGATCAATACTGCCAGGCTGGCCTGGCCATGCCTTCGGTGTTTTCCAGCCTGGCCTCTCCTGGCTCCTGAACCGGGACTTGAACCTAGTGCCGACTGAGAGGATGCATCCCACAGGCACCGAGAGGGACGGAGGGGGCAGGAGAGGCCGTGTATTCTGCAGTGCCCCCTGTAGACCCCCCTTCCTCTGTTGCAGGGTCTCAGGTTTGAGGTGGTTCCTTCGCGGTTCAAGGAGAAGCTGGATAAGACCTCGTTCCCCAGCCCCTACGCATACGCCGTCGAGACGGCGAGGCAGAAGGCCCTGGAGGTCGCCAGCAGGATCCACCAGGCAGGGCCTGCCCTCCGCCCCTGTGTGCTTATGCTAGCGGGACGGTGTTCCCCAACGGGCGCCAGCGGGTGGCGTGTAAGGTGTTGGACTCCCACGTGCCCGACTGAGGTTCAAGTCCCGAACCCAGCAGCTTCAAAATCACACCGGGCACATGTGCGTGCATGCCCAGATTCCCAGGTGGCGAATGGAGAAGGCATTGTGGCGTGGCCATGCCCCCAGGGAGTGATTTCTCACCTTCCCTCTCTCTCTATCCCTGCTTCCCGGGCAAGCACATGCACCCTATGGCAAAAACCGTAAAAAGAAAACGTCTTTGGGGGCTAGCATGTGGCCTGGTGGTGAAGGAGCTGGAATCCCACACGTGGCTAACCACAGTTCGAGTCCCGGAGACAGTGGCTTAAACTCACACCAGGTGCATGTGCGTGCGTGCCCAAAATCTCAAGAGGAGAATGGAGGAAAAGGGATTGCAGCGTGGCCATCACCTCTGGGGGTGATTTCCCACTCTCCTCTTACTGTCTCTGTCTCTCTCTCCAGCAAGTAGACAAGCCCATAGCAGACACCAAAAAAAAAAAAAAAAAAAGGAAAAAGGGGGGCAACGAAAGGAAAGAGGGGGACCAGCAGGTGGCGTGGTGGTTAAGGCGCTGGACAGTCCCTCGTGGCCGACCATGGTTCAAGGCCTGGACCTGGTGGCTTGCTTGTCTCACTTCCCCTCTCTCTCTCTCTGGCTGATCAAACTGGAAAATAATAATAATAAATAAAGTTAAATAAGAAATAATTCTTTAAAAAGAATTAAAAAGGAAAGAAAAAGGGAAAAAAGAAATAGCACTGTCCTTTAGCACACAGAATTGACAGTGTACCCGTTCCTGCGTGGAACTATGTAGCGTAGCGTTATCATAACAGCACCACTCACTCAGCCTGTAGGATTCCAGTCCTTTAGTTGTTAATGTGTGTTCTACTGTAACCCAGCACTGCCCCTACTGCAGCTTATAATCTGAGTGTCGGGACCAGCAGGTGGCATAACGTTGACGTCGCTGGACTCCCACGTAGTCCACTGTGGTTCGAGTCCTGGACCCGGTGGCTTAAAACTCTTGCTGGGTGCATCTGTGTGCGTGCCCAAGATCCTGAGAGGAGACTGGATTGGGGGACAGTTTCTTGCCTTCTGTCTCTCTAGTCCGTCTGACAAATAAGAATAATTAATGAGTTTCCACCTGGGAAAGGTGGGTACCAGGAGGGTGGAGGTGAGGCACGAGGGCAGGATAGACTCCAGGTCTCTCACGCCTCCGTTGGTCCCAACATGGGGTTTCCGATCTGGCCTGTTAGACCACCCCGAAGTAGCTTTTCGTCAGATGACCCCACGGGGCGTTCGGTGACCAGAGGTGACTCAGCACTCTTGGGTCTTCATTTCGGGTAATTCAGGACATGGGGCGCAAACCAGCCTTGGGGCAGACACGCCCTCTCCTGACTCCCAGGGAGAGCAAAACCACGGGCCAGCACATGCCGGGGTGAGGAAGGTGGCCGAGGCCCATGGCGCCAACCACAGTTTGAGTCCGGGACCTGCTGGGTTCAAAAACACTCTGGTTGGGGCCGGCAGATGGCACGGCGGTCAAGGCAGTACACTCCCACGTGGCTGATCGAGGTTCAAGTCCTGGACCTGGTGCATTGCTTTTTCACTTTTCCCTCTCTCTGGTCAAATGAAAATTAATTAATTAAGATGATTAAATTAAAATAACCATTCTTTTTTTGGGGGGAGAGGTTTTGTTTTTGTTTTTGTTTCTTTGTGGAGAGGTTTTTGCTATAGGGCCCATGTGCTCGCCAGAAAGACAGAGAGAGACAGAAAGCGGCAAATCACCCTTCTCCTCCATTCTCCTTTTGGGATCCTGGGCACACACGCACATGCACCTGGCGTCAGTTTCGAGCTACATGAAAGTTCAGTGACATAGCCATTACGCCATCTGCTGGTCCCAGTCACTCTTTAAAAAAAAAAATATTATTTACCTATTTAATTCCATTTGTTATAATTATTATTTTTTAATTTGCCCTGACAGAGACAGAGAGAGAAAGAGAAAAGGGAAGCGAGAAGGCAAGCCACCAGGTCCGGGACTTGAACTGTAGTGGGCCATGTGGGAATCCAACACCAGCAACATAACCGTTACACCATCTGCTGGTCCCAATAATAATTCTTAAAAATACAACCAACCAAATAAAAACACTGGTTGTGTTTTTATGCATATTTCTTTTTAATGTGTCTTTTATGCCCAAAACCTGAAAAGGAAGTGGGGACTGCTTTCTTGTGTTCCTTCTCTCTCTGTCTCTGTCTCTCTCTCTCGGGAGAGCAGGTATGCTCTAGCACATATGGCATTGTTGAAAACGTCATGACGCACTTTTGCATAGAAAATGTCATGGCTTTGGCGACAACCCAGGAGAGGAAAGGGACACAGACACGCTGGCCAGGTATTCAGGGTTTCCGGCTGAGCCGAGCAGTTGTAACACCCCGTACCTGCGGTCACAGGGTCCCCACAGACCCCAGCTCCCGGCACCGAGGTGCCTCCACAGGACACGGCCCGGTCCCTCCCGGGGCGCCGGCCGACTCCCAGAATCGCGTTCCGAAGGCGGACAGGCAGTCTGACACCCCGGCGGTGATGGGGGTGTGGGCGGGAGGCAGGCAGCGATGGCATGTCTCAGCCGGACCCTGGCTTTCTTGCAGAAGGACCTGCGGGCCCCCGACGTGGTCATCGGGGCAGACACGATCGTGGTGAGTCCCCTCCAGGGCCCTGTTCTCACCTGCAACTTGCTTTGTGTGTCTGGGGAGGTCCCATGGGTTTCACACCCTCCCGAGGCAGCCAGCCAGCACTGCTGGGGGCCACAGGGGTCAGGGTGCACTGGTGTGGGGGTGTGGGCGTGCCGGGGTCCTGGGGCTGCCGCCAGCTGACAGGCTTGAAGACATGCACGTTTACCCTCACACAGTCCTGCAGCCCACAGGCTCAGGTCCGGGGACACAGGGTCACACTCCCTGCACAGGTTCCAGGGAGGCTCCTTCCTCCTCTCCCAGCTCCCAGGGCCCCGGGGGAGGCTCCTTCCTCCTCTCCCAGCTCCCAGGGGAGGCTCCTTCCTCCTCTCCCAGCTCCTGGGGCCCCGGGGGAGGCTCCTTCCTCCTCTCCCAGCTCCCGGGGTCCTAGGGGAGGCTCCTCCTGGTCCCCACAATGAGATTTTGGACTGCTGTGGTTGAGCTCGGTCATGACAGACCCTTTGGAGCCACCGTCACTGCAGCCCTGCTGTGGGGGACCCGGCATGGGATCGGAACCCCTGTCCCTGCTGCGGGGGACCCAGCATGGGATCGGAACCCCTGTCCGGCCAGGGCATGCGCAGTGCGTGTGCGAGCTTGGCCCAGTGCCCAGGTGCCGCCATGGCCCCCTGGCTGCAGGTCTGTGCCGTCGGGTCAGCGGAGGCCACTGGGGCGACGTGGGCTACAGGCAGCTTGGTCACTGCACGTCCTTGGGCCACGTGCAGACAGGACCGGGCCTTCGCTGCTGGTTAATAATTAGGGTATTTCCCAGTGGCAGCTCGTGGCGGGCCACCTGCTCTTCCCGGATAACTGCCCCCGGCCTCTCTGCTCTTGAGCTGAACTGTCAACACCCTCCCCAGGGCCTCAGAATGACTGTTTTCTGCTTTCGTTTTGTGTTTTCGTGTTTATTATTTTAATTTGCTATAGGGTGTGTGCACTCACCAGAGACAGAGAGAGAGCCACCGGGTCTGGGACTTGAAGTGTGGCCGACCATGTGGGTGTCCAGCGCCTTAACCACCACTGTGACACTTGCTGGTCTCAAGAATGACTGTGTTTGGAGATGAGATCTGTCAGGAGGTGATGGAGGGGATGTGAGGTCCCCAGGATGACCCTGATCCCAGAGGACTGGGGTCCTTATGAGAAGAGGGGACACAGACACAGACGCACACAGAGGATGGCCCCGTGAGGACATGGGAGGAGATGGCGTCTCCACGCCGAGGAGAGAGGGCTCGGGAGGGGCCAGCCCTGCCTCCCCGGACCTCGGGCTCCAGCCCCCAGGACAGGGCAGGAAGGGTGTCTGTGTGCAAGGCCCCCAGCCGTGGTACTCTGTTCCGGCGGCCCTGGGGAACGAATAGACCTGTTGTCAGTATAGACCCCAAAGCACTGGAAGCACGGATTCAAACAAGAACGTGTGCCCAGGGGCCAGCAGCTGGTTAAGGTGCCGGACTCCCACGTGGCCCACCAGGGTTCCAGGCCCACACCTGGCCTTTGCAAAATCACGCTGAGCGGGGACCAGGAGATGGCGTAAAGGTTACATCCCTGGACTCCCACGTAGCGGACTGAGATCAAAGCCCAGACCCGGCGGCTTCAACTCACACTGGGCGTGCGCGCGTGTGCGTGTGCGTGTGCGTGTGTGTGTGTGTGTGCCCGACATCTGGAGAGGAGAATGGAGGACAAGGGGTTGCAGCATGGACATTTTCCCCGGGGGGTGACTTCTCTCTTTCTGTCTCTCTGCCTTTCCAGGGAGCTCATGCCCTATAGCAAAATATTTCACCAAATAAAAAAAATTAATAAAGTAAATAAGTGAATAATCTTAAAAAAAAAAATACCACCGCCAGGCATGTGTGTGCGGAATGTCAGGAGGAGGGAGCGGTGAGGGATTGCGTCATGGCCGTCCCCCGGGGGTGCTTTCTCTCTCCGTCTCTCCCTCTCTCTCTCCCTGTCCTCGTCTCTGTGAGCTCAGGCCCCCTCGTACACCGAAGTCATAATTGTCAGGGAAGCAGACCAGGCTGCAGCTTTGCGTCTGTCCCAGCCGTGGACAGCGGCCTTGGCAGGCTGGCCCGGCCGTTGGCACCTGACCCCCTTCCCTCCCCTCCCCCTTCTCTTGCAGACGGTGGGGGGGCTCATTCTGGAGAAGCCCGTGGACAAGCGGGACGCCTACAGGATGCTGTCCAGGTGGGCGCAGGTCGGGCCCCAGGGCGGCCCTGGACGCCGCCTATCGGAGGGCCGGGCTGGTCTCCCCCGGGCAGGGCTGCAGCCTGGGAGGATGAGGGCCGGGGCCGTCCAGGGGGAGCCTCCATCTCCCGCCCCTCCCTGAGCCTCCCAGCCGTCCTCCGCAGGACCTGAGCACGCCCCTTCCCCAGGGCTTCACCCCACGGGGCTGGCCCGTCTGCCCACCTTTCCCGAGCAGCACAGGCTGCCCAAGGGTGTCCTCACGTGGCTGGGGGTGGACGCTGTCCCTCGGCGCCCACGACGGCAGACCCCAGGGTATCTCGGGCCCATTCCTGACCGTCAGGGTCCCTGGAGACGCCTGCTCCGCCCCGCCCTGGGGCTGGGCTCCCTGCCCACCTGCCGTACTTCCTTCCAGCCCAGGAGAGCAAGCGGATGCTGGAAACGCCCGGCTAGGGCCACGCAGGCCTAGGGTCGTCCCCAGCGGCTGCCCCTCCAGGGTTTGTCACCTCCAGTCTAAAAGCGATGGCTGCAGCAGGGCGAGCTGCCCTGAGCTCTTCTGGGTGCACGAGGGCCGCCCACAGCCTGTGGGTAAGGGAGACAGATCGCACTGGGACGTCTGTGGTTCAAGTCCTGGTCCCGCTGGCCTGGAACACATGCTGGGCATACGTGCATGTGTGTCCGAAATCCGACAGGAGGGAGAGAGAGACGAAAGGGGGTGACAGAACCAGCAAGGGGCATAACGGTTACATCGCTGGACTCCCATGTAGTTGACTGCAGTTCGAGTCCCGGACCTGGCAACAAAACTCACGCCAGGCGTGTGTGCGTGCGTGCCCAAGATCCCGAGAGAATGGAGGAGAAGGGATTGCGGCGTGGCCATACCCCCTGGGGGTGATTTCTCGTTTTCTGTCTCTCTGTCTCTTTCTGTCTCTCTGGCGAGCGCATGCGCCCTATACAAAAAAACCGTCAAGAAAAAAAAAAAAAGTACCAGTAACAAGTGGAAGTTTAAAAAGACTGCCAGAGTCGCAGGAATCCTCGTGTGGGGCGCTAGTGAAGAGGCCGGGCTGGGAGGGAGGGAGGGAGCCTGGCGGCCCTGTTGCCCGCGAGGACCTGGCTGTGCGCCCCGTCTGACGGCGCGGTGGCACGTGTGTCTTGCAGGCTGAGCGGCCAGGAGCACAGCGTGTTCACGGGCGTGGCTATCGTGCACTGCTCCAGCACAGGTAAGGCCCGCGTGGGGTTCCCTCACCACCGAGGCCGGCCCGTGCCGGACGCGCGGGGGCCTCGGCTCAAGGAGCCGGTGTGGACACTGCTCTGAGGCTGCCCTTCACTGAGGTCCAGCTGGGAGCATTGTCATCCCGTGGGGACGGGTAGGCTTTTCCTCTCTGCCCCTGGGGCGGGCGGTACCAGGTGCCACAGGCAAGGTGGAGAGCTTCGTCAGGGGTCGGCAGGTGGCGAGGAGGATGAGGCTCTGAACTCCCATGGAGTCGACTGCGGTTCAAGTCCCGGACCCGGTGGCTTAAACTCACGCTGGGTGCATGTGCGTGCGTGCACAAGGTCCCGAGAGGAGAATGGAGGAGAGGGGATTGCAGTGTGGCCATCCCCCCTGGGGGGTGACTTCTCACTTTCTATCTCTTTGTCTGTCTGGTGCATGCACACATTCTATGGCAAAAAGCCTAAAAAAGAAAAAAAACAAATTCGGAACCCGTATATGGCGTAGTGGTTGGGTCACTGGACCCTCACATAGTTAACCAGAGATCCAGCGGCTTAAAACTCACGCCGAGAGGGCCGGCAGGTGGCATGGTGGTTGAAGGCGCTGGACTCCCACGTGGCTGACCGGTGTCCAAGCCCCAAATCTGGTGGCTTCCTTTCTCACTTTCACTCTCTCTGTCTCTCTGAGCAAACTGGAAAATAATAATAATAAATAAAACTAAGTAAAATACTTCTTCAAATTAAAAATAAAAAACGTATGCTAGGCGCATGTGCATGCATGCCTAAGATCCCTGCAGGAGAGCGGAGGAGAAGGGATTGCGGCATGGCCATCCCCCTGGGAGGGTGATTTCTCGCTTTCTGTCTCTCTGTCTCTGCAGCAAGCACACATGTCCTGCAGCAAAAATCTTTCTCAAAAAATAATAACAATAATAATAATAATAATATGGGGGCCAGCGGCTGGTGTGGTAGTTAAAGGCACTGGTTTCTAACATGGCCGATCGTGGTTCGAGTGCCAGACCCGGCAGCTGGCTTTCTCACTTTCCCTGTCTCTCTCTCTCTCTCTCTGTTCAAATTAAAATAATAATAACAACAAATGGAATTAAATAAGTAACCTTTAAGAATAAACTCATTGAACACGACCCTTAAATAGTCGCCTACTCCAGGCGTCACTTTCTGGCATCCGGAAGACCGGAATTCTATCCGAGTCCTATCGCAGGTCTGTGGTAGACAAGGGATTCCAGGGGGACGCTCCAGGCCTGGACAGCCGGGCGGGACTCTTCTGTACCCTCAGCTGAAAGTCTCCTGTGGACCCGAGGTGTGTCGCTCAGATGGTTTTTGCAAAAAACTAGATGCCTCCTCTCATCTTGGCATTTTTTTAAAAAAATTTTTGCTATAGGGCACACGTGCATGTTAGAGACAGACACAGAGAGAGAGACAGAGACAGGGAAACTGAGAAATCGCTTATACAGGGGCGATCGCCACAGGGCGGTCCCTTCTCTGTCTCTCCCTCCTCTAGAGATTTTGGGCACATGCACACCCACGGTGATTTTTCTTTTCTTTTTCTTTTACAGAGATTTTTCCTATAGGGTGTGTGTGCTTGCTGGAGAGACAGAGAGACAGAAAGCGAGAAATCACCCCCCAGGGGGGATGGTCACGCCGCGATCCCTTCTCCTCCATTCTCCTCTCAGGATCTTGGGCACACACGCACACGCGCCCAGCATGAATTTAAGCCACCGGGTCCGGGACCCGAACTGCAGGTGACTGTATGGGAGTCCAGCAACAGAACCATCTGCTGGTCCCCTGCCACTGTGATTTCCAAGCTGCCAGGTGCAGGACTCGAACCATGCCATCAGAGATGTAGGATCCAGTCGTCTTAACGTTCACACCACCCCCTGCCCCTGCCTGGATCCCAGTGACTACCTTTCATCCTCCCGCGGGGTGTGTTTGGGGCCGGAAACAACCCTCCTTGCCCCCCGTGCACGACCTGCGAACCCCACGCCCGTCCATCAAACCTCCCGCAGTGGCCCCGCTCCATCGGCCGGGCAGGGGCGAGGCTGGCCGGCCTTGTCGTTGCAGGGACTGAGCTGGACACTGAGGTGTCGGAGTTCTACGAGGAGACCACGGTGAAGTTCTCGGAGCTGTCGGAGGAGCTGCTGTGGGAGTACATCCACAGCGGGGAGCCCATGTGAGTCTGGGGGCGCGGACGGACTCAGAATCCCACGTAGAACCCCACGGGGCGGCAGGGCAGGTAAGGCGCTGGACTCCCACATAATCGACTGCAGTTCGAGTCCCGGACCCGGTGGCTTAAACTCACACCGGGCGTGTGTGCGTGCGTGCCCAAGATCCCAAGAGGAGAATGGAGGAGAAGGGATTATGGCGTGGCCATCCTCCCTGGGGGGCGATTTCTCACTTTCTGTCTCTCTGTCTCTCTCTGTCTCTCTGGTGAGCGCATGCGCCCTATAGCAAAAACCTC